ACCGACTTGTTATAATATTATTATGTTAATCGTATATTATTTTATTTTTCTGAATATTTATATCGTTCTGTTCCGTATACACGAATACTCCATTTATTAATACCAATACATAATATTATACCGCAATGTTCGAAAACAGATGAGCGATAAATTTTGCCTAACTATCCATTTATTATAAAATGTCTTGTGCCTTAAAAGTTGTGGTATAGCTAGATAGGTTTGTACGTATGTAAAAAGTTTAATAATAAATTCAAATTCGTTCGTAAATAAAATAAAACCGAACGATTTATGCGGTAATTTTTTTTTTCTTTTTTTAAGTAATAAAATACAAACCATACTTAAAACCACAGATTATTCGGGTTTATTATTATTATTATTTATTAATAAATAAAGCTTTTATAGACGAACAGTTTTTGGGTGTTATGCTAGATTTCTTAGTTTGTTAGCTACAATAATAATAACTTTATAGTAGCAGTCCAGGCGGATCCATAGGCCATTCTCCTCTAAACATTTCAGAACAATGTGCTTTTTTCTTGTATTGCTGTGAATTTGTATACCAGGTTCCATATTATTGTAAACGATTTTGCCACACCTCTGCTCCCATCGTAAAAACAAAAAAAAAAAATAAGAAGTCTGATCCCATATCACTGAATAACAGAGAAAAATACGACATATTGCCTGTGGCGCGGGCGTCGCTATATTATTTCCACCAATAATTTCGTAAAATATCATAAATCACGGTTTTGTACGCTATATCTTAATTATTTATAATAGAAATTGTTGGCGTGTTTATCTGCAGTTATGTACAGCCTGAAAATCTTTGGCACGCAGATATCTGAAATATCGCTCGTATATTTTCGGACCGATGATGCGTACCTAGCAACTGCAACCGCGGAATTAGAATTATTGTAGGTATATTTTTGATTTGATTGCGGAATGCGACATATAGAAAACATATGTACTACAGAAAAAAAAACAAATTTATTTTCGCTATTCTAAATCAATGAATTCGTTAAATTCCAAGCACATAATTCGGTCCATTAAAACAAACACCTCTTTAAACGTTAAATTAAAATTTGTCAATTTTTCGCCGTATTTCCATTTGTCGGCCATTGTGTAGTTAAAAAGACATTTTTGACTACTTTAGTTTTTGAATATGATGAAGAATTTGTTGGTTTCGATCACAAAATAATGGTAAGGAAAGACTATAATAATTATATAAGGAAAGCAAACACGATTAATATTATTTTTGATTATAATAATTTGTCGTATTGCTTTCATTATACACGCCAAATAACCCTATGTGTCTACACTATATACCTTCCTAACTCCCCACTCACAACACTGGTCTACCTCATTGTACGAATTGTGTCCGGATTTTTTTAGAGAATTTACGAGTATATTTTATTTTCAGTTAAGTATATTGTTGTTTTATAGCTAGATCAGCTAACGGGGTACTGGAAAATAAAAAAAATTGTTTACATAAGATAAAACTGTAACTGTCATTCTTATGCCGTTACCCGCCGACGGAATTATATCCTGATGTAAAATCTCGGTTCGGAGTGAAATTGTTGGGTTAATTGGTTTTTGTTTGAATGGTAATTCGTGTAGGTATAATGCTATTGTATAAAATGGGAGACTGTACAGTTTTCTGCACACACGCTGCAGTGTCCGAACACTCGGTTTCGGTTATAATAAATTATAAATCCACCGCCGGGGCCGTATAATCGTATGAAACGTGTCATAGCGGGATAATATATTATGCGCAGGTACCTATATGTGTACGACCCCGAGAATTAAATTATTTTCGCTGAAATTATCGCGACGTGTACCTTATATGTGTAATTCGTACCGTATCCGAAATCGAATTCGCGTATAATCATATCGCGCCGGAAACGAACGGTTAAATGTTGATACTGTAATACACCTGAATACGAGTTGCGCGATTGCGAGAAATTTACACGTTACTGCTAATGTTTAAAATTGGACAGTGTCAAATCTTCGTTCAGTATAACCGATTTTGCGCGTTAATTTTAACGTTAAAGTGAATTTCTCGATATCTTAATTTTCAAACGAACGTTCAAACACGCGTAACACACTCGATTTTAAGTTATATATAATAGGCTAATCCACCTCAATATTATTAAAACCAATTGCACAACATTTGATTTAATTAACGAAAATTTTACATTATCCAATTTTCAACATTGTCCGTAAAACATATTTATCGAAAATTATACGAATCTGTGTTGTTGATTTTTTAAGCTTTTGTTTCGATTGTACGCCCACGTTGTTCGAATCGAGACAAAACTCACAGTGATAGCAGTCACGATTTGAAGCGTAATATTCATTATTATCATTTTTATAATATTTTTTAGATTTATTCGGTCTTTTTATGACCATTCTATCTCACAGACCAATCATCCAGCCATCACAGTCTTCTCACGTTTTCTCGATTTTCTTAAAGATCGTTTCCCTATTTGGGTTCTGTTTCAGCACTGCCGTGTACGGAGTGGCTTCTCCGCGCATGTCCAACCCATCGCAGTCTTCCTCTCTATCGATGATTTCTGAAATATTATTTTCTCCGAACGTTGTCTGTAGCTCTCTCTGTTTTCCTTCGTCTCCAACTTTAATTATGTGGTCCTTAACTGGCCCAAATTTGGTATGATATTCGGCTTTCAATTGCTAACAATCGATTTTTGTTCGGCCTTAAACAATGTACATAATACAATCTTTTTTCCCGTCCCTCGCTTACTTAATTCTAGAGTATTTCCGCATAGTCGTACAAAAGTTTCGAAATAACTTTCTTATACCGAAATTTTCGATTCGTTATGAAATTAGGTTTCTTTATACAAAATATACGTATATCTTCTCGCACATTGTGTAAAATAAGCATTGTTTTTATTTCTTTATGACGGTGCACTGCGTGTTTAACCCCGTACAGTTTTTAACGATAAAAAAAGCGCGTCGACGGCATAGCACTTAAATTATTAAACGCGAACCTCGGATTTCCTTGTTCGTTCGCGGCGTTTGTGCAGTGTAATAACAACAACGATGATAATATCAAATTGTGTGTAATCTCTTTATGTCCCGAAAACGTTAGCATGACTTTATACCCGTGTATAATAAACGTAGTGTAACTGCAGTATAACTAAATCAACACGCTAAATCGTGTTGTTTTACCGTATCGCGCGTTATGTATATATTATGTTTGTGTTGTATATGCGTGTACATAATTCGAATGTTAAAAAACTTTCAAGCTTTCCCCAATTAACTGTATGGAGCAGACTCGGCAGTTTAGGATTTGTTGTAGTTTTATCGCTCGTAACTAAATATAAAACTATATTGTACTACTTAATTAAAATGTTTGCGATTTGGATTTTCGTGTTCGGCTTTGTTCTTTCAATAACGAGGCCATTACTATTTAATCGTTTTAACTGAATCATCAATCACTCGTTTTCATTCGTTTCCCGTAAAAAAAAAAAAATAAAAATAATATAACAATAATCGATTTTTCTAGAGTTCTGTCCGATATATTTGACACGGATTCTTAAAATCAGCGAGAATAAATGTTTTTTATTAACGACATGATAAAAAACTTTTTAAATATTTTAACGTAAAAATATATACTTCTATCACATTTTAATTACATTAAATTCACGACTTATAACCTATGCGTGCATTTTTAACTGAACTTGTAGAATTTGCTTCTTTCGATTCTGAGCGTAGCTAGGAATGTACTGTTGTTCCTACCAGAAATTTTGATTTGATCATCTGCGAGCCTTTCGAAAAGCAAGTTTTGTTTAGTTTGTATGTTAGGAATATGTTTTTATTTTTCATTTCCATTGTAGTTTCCTTAATTAATGGGAAACCCCGGGTCGAAAAAATATCTAAAGTCAAAAAATAAAATATACTATATTATATGACACTATATATTTGTAGGCCCGTGAAATATGAAAATATGGAAATTTATCTTTTTTTAACTTAAAAATATTCATATTCACTGTCGAATAGACGTATAAGAGATTATGTGACCAGTCAGTCAAACTGTACAGTAACAATGTCGTCAACATTAAATGTTTTTATTAAATCGAATTGGGACAGCAATTTTTTTTTTTTTATATCTCATAGTCGGTCAATTGGCCGTGGGACAGTTGAACGGATGCGGCATGATCAAAGTTAAATACGCAGCTAACAATAAATAAAGGAATACAAAAATATAAAAAATAAACATATAAGTAAATAAAACGTGCACACAGTTATTTATTTTCTAAACGTATTTCCCTCGGACATTTTATCTTCGGGACATTTTGGTAAAACACACATTACAGCACCGTTAACAATCAAGATAAATGTAAAATATTGGATGCTTTTCTCCTTGTAGGTATAATACAATAATTTACCCATCAGCAATGTGGGTTTTTTTCTTTCAACCGAGTGTTTTATCTATCATCGTGTGAACGGTTTAAAACCGATGTTATTATGGGTACTAAAGAGTAAATTATGTTTTTGTGCATAAAGTGCATAAATAAAGATAAATTACGATACTAAAAAAAAAAAAAAAAACGATTAGTTATAAGATTCAAATATATTGCCCTCGGTACACGGCCATTTGGATAATTTCGCATAATATTTACATAGGACTAAAATGCTCGTGTTTAATATTTTTTTATTTTTTTTTGCCAATGAATAATTTATTCTAACGGAATTATTAACGGAACTTTATGTCAAAATGATTGCCTTGTTGATATCTTCTATCGTCCTGCAACCATTTATGGTACCGAATAAATCGACAATTTATTATAATATTATAAAATATCATTTTCGTCGGCAGTATAATGATGAGTATAATAAGTTGTTTTCGTGAAAAAAAAAAAAACATTCGCATATCGAATCCGATTCGAATATAAAAACGCGTCGTAAAAAAAAAAAAAATATATAATGTATTTACGAGTAGGTGCGTTTTTTCGACGTTTTTTTTTTTTTTTTTTCTTATTTTTAGGACGTGTTTTTCACGACGACGAATCCGAAACATAATATATGTAAAACAAAAACAAACGAGACGGTACTATAACTTATACTGCGATACACATTTGTACACGCATCGTGTTCGAGCTCAAAGCGTAAAAATGACGCGCCGCCGTATGACCCGGAACGGTAATAATTGCGGCTGTAGACGGTTTCCTTCCGTTTTCAATTTAGCTAAGTGCTTCCTTGATTCGGCCGTCACTGCACGCGCGACGAATATAAGACGTTTTAACGCGACCGTTGCGCGACGGATGCGAGAACAGAAAACTCCGAAGGAAACTGCGTGTACACTGCGCCGCAAAACAACGGGATTCGCTTTAGATATATGTGTGCCGCGAGTGAACTGCGTATTGTTCCGGAGGTGTTATCCGTGGATTATCGGCAGCGCGATTCGGGACTTGAATTATAGCGTTTGCTTTTTTTCTTGTTTTTTCGGCTCGGGCATAAAAAATATTCTGGCAGAACGCTATGTATGGGAATTATTATGTTGCGCTACAACGTGTGCGAAATATCAAATTTAAAACCGGCGACGCTTGTTGTCGCGTCTTTTTTCGATAGGCTTCCTAGGAAAAAAAAAAAAAAATGGTTCTTGACCACTTCTGAGTACGACGGAAAAACGGTACCTCAAAAGACTCGGAATATTCGCCCGGTGATATTTTATTTGAAACGTTTATCGATATTTTCATGATATGGTGCGTGCCATTTTTGTAAGTGCCATTGTCGGATAAAGGAGGCGACCTGCAAGAGAGCTGCAGGCCCTCTAAATCCCCGTTTATTTATTTTTTAGAGCTATGATAAACTGTTGTTTTTTTTTTTTTTTTTACTTACGTATTATGTGTTTAATATTAATATGAAAAATGTCGGGCCCCTCCGAAAAAAAAAATCCCAGATCCACGACTGGCGCACAAGACCAACGCTATAAGTGTACCGAACACCAACTGCTATTATTATATTGCCAACGATTAAGGTGCAACCTGATAATTATTACGAAATTGTTTTAGTAATAAATCTGCGGTGTCGCGTTCATTTTTATCGTAGGTATATTTTACGTAATTTAAATAAAATAACGGACACTATACCTATATGTATAATAAAAAACAAAACAACTGCACCCCGATTATGCATATGATGAGAAAACGTCGATTAAATTTATGTGATCGCACATCATCGTAAATATTTCACGCGTTCGAAATCACATGACGAATTCGCCAGACGAATTCGCGTGGGACGTGCCTTAAAACGCGTAAATATGTTTTTTTTTTCCACCGGTACATGCCTAAAACAGACGCGCATAATATCCCTATTCCCTATAGGTACGTAATATATTGAGCATAGGAAACCGACCAAACCGAAAATTACAGGTAATCATAATATTGAAGGTAATAAATTTGCGTTTATGGGCCAATTCTGCGGAAATGTGCGTTGCGATGCGGTAAGTCTTTAATTTCTGACTTTGAACGTAGGTATTTAAATATACGAAACCGGTACGAAGTGTAATTATAGATACGTGCAAGTAGTATGGTCAAAAACGCTCGTATCTTATGCAGTAAATAGTATAAGATCGTATGGTTTGTTTTTTTTTTCTCTGTAAAATACGATGTCATAATAAATGTATACACAGACCAACTTATTGCTATGAATCGTTAACATAAATCGCTTGCTATATAATATACGAATATCGTACTATTATATTGAACGGATATTACAGCATCTGCTGTAGTACGGAGACGTGATACGATATGGGCGCGTCTAGAAACGAAAAATTTATTAATTTTTTAATTGCGGTACCGCGCGACGTTTTTATTATTATTTTTAAAATATATTATGTTATTTCTCGGCCATAAAAATATATTGTTTTTTTTTAGACACGAAAATATATACCTCGTGTTCGCCTTCTATACAGACTTATATATACGCACGTATATTATGTTGTGTATTATTTTATCGTGCTAACTCTATGATTTTTTCCAATCGATTGAATTATTGCGATATTGCGTATTTAACGTCATTCATTATATTACGTTTATTGCGGTCGAAAACTAACGCGTGGTTAAGAGGACGCGTGAAACGTGTTGTCTCCTTCTTACAAACGCGTAGGACGCGGAAAATTTGCGTTCGACAGGGACAATTTTGCGCTATTAGTTTTAACATTTCAATGGATTGGCCTATTGCATCGAACCATTATAGGTATAAGAACATTATCCGTCCAACTGCGTCGGTTTTGTTTCGAAGTTTTAATATCTAAACGACAACATGTAGACATTTTTAAACTGTGATACACTCGACGATAAACGCTTGTACAGTAGAATGTCGAAATAAAAATAAATACTTCCAAAGTCAAGACATGTAACGTTTTTACCTTCGAGTTTGATTATATGTCAATTCGCTCTAATATCCATTTGTTCCCGGTGTACACGAATTTGCTCTGACATATACGTGTATTTATACGGAAACAGCGCCGCATGTGCAAAAAGTTCTTACACGAAACATTTTTGTGCGGAAAATAAATATTTCGTGTACAATTCGACTGTTACACGGAACTCGATAAATATGGCTGTATACACCATAGTTCATAACGTACTGATAGTAATAAAATTTCGATACATTACAACCGTTACGCGCGGTTATAGACCGAGACAGAATAAATGCGCGGACTCTGCTAAGGGTTCCGATCGGAAATATTATATTCGTTTTTCACGGTCGTTATTATTATCCGGTCACAAATTTAATAACGAAAACGAAAAAACCGAATTTATTACCATTTGCGCGTTGTTATAATGCAGTTGCCCGGTGAAATATTTATATTATGTTTAAGGGGAAGGGGTAAAAACACGCGCGATTGTTACTTTACCGCGTATCCCGGACTCAGCTGCAGCATCAACTGCAGTAACATATAATTATTATAATCCGTGGACGCTTCTATTTATTATGACGATGATGACGATAATTCGTGTCCATCTGTATAAAAACTGCGCACGGAATACGCTATTATATCGTTATCAAAACTATATAATCTGCCCGAACCGTGTTTCCATCACGAACTCGATAATTTCGGCCGTTTCATTTCGTCCTAAACTTTTTTGCTACGTCAATCGTTTCTATTATTATTACTTTTTTTTTTTTTTTTTTTTTAGACTCCGAGCGAATGGGAGAGAGCAATTTATATGTTATTTGGTTTTATCATTGATTTTTTTTTTATTTTTTTTACTCCCGCGTGGTTTGTAAACACAATTTCGACCAAAAGACCATTATTACGCCGTTCGAAATTTCATATTGGGCCGTAATTCTCGTACCGTTTTTAATAATATCTGTACAATAGAGAGATTGTGATAGTAATTTGTTAACGTTCACCGGGGAAATACAGAGAAGAAAAAAACGCCGTTCTTCGATGTTTTTTCGTTTTCGTTACGGCTTATGTTAATACATATTGTTTTTAATGTCATAATATTGTACTGACTAGTGAAAAAACAAAAAACAAAAAAACTGTTTAAAGTTAATAATTTTAACAAAATAACTCTCGAAAATCACAAAAAATCGATCAAACATTTCTTACGGGGTTAACACGTATGTTCTACGTTAATCGAACTCTACTAGAAAAATTCGTAAGTGACAGGGCGTGGCGAGGAAACAGCTGTACCCCTGAATAGAATAGGTACGTTAAATATATAGGTACATTTTCGAAAAGTGTTTACTGGCTATAATATTGTTATTGAAATAGTTACCGTAATGATAATATTATAATATAGATAACCGAAATCATCGCGATAGCTCGCATGCGGTCTCTGATGAAAAAAAAAAAAAATCGCTTTGTATACCCATAGATGTACAAATTGTACCTATATTTCGATAAAGGATATACGTATATAGTAGTAGTAGAGAGCGCAGGTCAGTGACTCAAACGACGCGACGGTTTAATGGAATCGGTCGGTCTTCGGATGCAAATCGACTCGTATACGTACCGACTATTATTATTACGATTTTCAATAATCATCGTCGTTCGTGAGACCTCGTGTCAATCACACACACAAACACACACACACACACGCGCGCGCGTATGGTAATGATACGATTTATGTCGAGCACACTACGTTATATGCGTATACAACTACCGCGTTATGTATACCCGCAATATTATGGGCGTACGCGTCTGGTCGCTTTCGGCTGTTCTCGCGGTACATACTGCGTTAATAAGGTACCGTCCGCGCTCTTTCGTAGGTTTATAAACTCGATTTCGACCCGGCGATCGTTCGCGTACACACTATGTCTTATTCCGGTGCATACGCGTAAAACCTAATAAAAAAAAAAAAGGAATTGGCCCGTGTCCACCGCCATAACACTTTGCGTTACAACGTTGATTTTAAACATCGATTTTCAAACAAACGTATCCGGATTGCGGAGTACCTATAGCTTTAACAATAATTGATAATTCGTCCGAAGACAAGAACTCAATCCTTACCCAAACGATACGTCGTTTAATGGTTTCGGTTTGGTACGTATAAGGGAGAAAAAAAAAGATCGCCGAAAGAACTCGACTTACACAATTAATATATTGTAGAAGATTTCAGGGCGATTTTTATTACCGCGAACCATAAACACGAAGTTTTTTCGCGAATTTTTAATTTACGGTTTTTTCCCGCCGTCACGGTCGTGATTGAACGATTGATTGGATTCGTCGATCGGTTCGTCTTATGTTCCGTTCAACGTATCTGCTTGCATACCAAACGTGTGAAGTCCAAATGTATATACGTATGCTATAGCAAACTAGTAACTCGTATTTTTAAACTCGTGAAAATATTCTCCTTTCGAATAGGAGTTTAATAACGCTATTAGGTACATTTAAAACGTTATCAAAGTCGACATGCGTGATGTTTACGCCGTATACGGAATAAGGGTCAAAATTCTTATATATATATATATATGTGGTTGTTGTAAACGATTGTATTATAACGACGATGACTGCTGAAAAAAACAAACCAAAATCGAATTCACTCGAAATGTTCGTTTGAATGATAATCGCTGGTGCGTGATAAAATAATCATCCCGTATCTTTTACGTCCGGACGTTTTTGCGTGTGTGTATAAACACACACACAGACAATAGTATCACGTCGTATTATATTGATATTGTTTTCGTGACTGTTCGTTTTGTATATTATACTCGTGCGGTTTTCGTTTTTCCGATACTCGCGGGCTACCGTGTCGAAAGCCCACCGAGAATTATTACGGTAGCTGTGGCGTAGTCTCCGGTAATTTATGTAAACTACCGTTTTGAAAGTAACCTGCAGATTAATGACTGACCGTATTTTTTAATTTTTTTTTTTTTTTTTTTAATTACATTTGCCATATGTGAACATAATACGTGTATCCAGTTTTAATAAATCAAACGTATAGGTACGTAGGTTCGCGTAGTTTTTGAAAAATACGATATTCCCGCACTTGGCATAATGGTGACGTCCAAAATATAAATTATATTTTATACATATTTTGAGTTCGATACATTATATTGCAATAATTTAACCATTCTTCCATGCATAATCCGGATAACATCGGTGTGGTTGTCAAATTATTTCCAAAAATTGATACCATAAAATATGTACGTATAAAATGTCATTATTATATTTTTTTCCCGAAAACCTGTGTATACTTTCAGCGGCTTCTCGTGGAAAAAACTGGTTCAAATTCGGGGATTAAAGTTGTTTTATAGGCGAATTAGAGTGATAAAAGTTGGAAGTAGTAATTTCTCTCTTGAAATTATTTCAATGTGAATTTCACCATGTCGCGGGAGGTGGGAGTTTTTATAGATTTAAACTCCCCAACAGTACATCGAAATTGAGTTAGAGTGATAATATTTTGTACATACATGACGATAGTATTAAGGATAGGTATGCTATTTTTTTAAGTACCTAATATAATATTTATTGTAATATTATTATGGTAAATACTCGATTATTTATTGTTTTGCGAAGAATGTTTCTATAATACATAGGTGAGGGAAAATTCGAATCTGGTGTAGTGGAGCTCTGTTGCTCACTAGTGTTTTTATTTTTCATTAAATAAAAAAATGTAATATGTAAAACTTCAAAATAATTAAGCGTTACTAACCTAACCTAACCTTTTGAACGAAACATAAGCAAAGTAAAGTAAATTTACTGTGCAGTAACTCGCCTAGGTTCGTTCCAATCGAGGAGGAATTTCGTATTCCCGACATATTTTGCGGTATATGAATAATCGCTAAATATATAAATGTAGGATACTATTGTGCTGCAATTCCTCATTCTTTCTTCGCGTTAGAGAAGCTGAAACGTGATTAAAACCCAACGACGCACGCTTATACCATATCGTCATCATCAGCGGAAATTGTAATTATATTTAATTGATTGTATATGCGGGTGTACACGTATAGCAGACGTATACTGCGCATGCACTTTTAATTGGTTAGTGTTTCAACCAGCAGTTTCAAGGGTGCGAGGTACTGATGAATGAAAAACACCGCCGCCGCTGCAGTATAGGTCAATAATAATACACGATACGTAGATCGAGAAATCGCGTTTGATATCACGCGATACGAGACCGACGGTGTTACACTGTTACCTACTTATTTCTGTTTTTTTATTTCCGTAATATACCTACTACCCAAGTACCCGCTTCGTTAAGTGTTTGATACCGAGTGTTTATCAGCCGCCCCTCTCTCCCTGTACGCATACTGCATGCAGCTTAATACAGTCCCGGGGATGCAATTATAATGTATACTATTATAGCACAGTCTTCTGCCGGGTGCATAGGAATTTTAATTAAAATATCGACAACGTTATCGTATTATATATTTGCATATAATTTGTTATTATTGCTGGAGGTGCGCATAAATTCCGACGTGATAATATTATATTGCTTAAATAATAATATAAAGCGACTGTCAGGTGGCCGGCTGCAGCGCGTGACGGGGCCGCGGAAGAAGAAAATAAAAAAAATCGAACGATTTTTTGTGGGTTTTTTTCCTCTCTACATTGCCGTTAGCCGTTATACATATACGCATACACCATATATAATCGCGGTGAGACGTGGTGTTGAAATTAACGATGGGGGGAAAAAAACCGTCGGCGCGCCGCGGGTTATTTTAAAACTGAAACCGATATGTTGGCACTTGTTGACAACTACTTATATACTTACCGCGGCAATCGAAGCGGTCCGCGCGTGGGACGAAAAAATAAACACGCGCAAACTTATAAGTACGTTACGCGGCCGTCTTTTTTATCCGACGAAATCTTCTTAAACTTCGGAATTCCGATTCGAGTGCGCGTTTCCATTGTAATACACGCTATATTGTATAATAACGTATTATAATTCCCCGTTGACGAATTAATTTGATTTTTATCGCGATTACCGACATACCGAACGTGATTGTGTTCGTTTCGAATATAGCATGATGCAGTGTGCCGTTGGCGTATACAATACAGTCGAAGAAGAATTAAAAAAAAAGTAACAATAAAAAAAAATCCACGTGCTTGTATTATATACCTACGTAAGTAACCTACCTGTATGCAATTTAAATTTCGAATTAATCCGTTGTGGTTCCGGAAAACGTTTGACGTATATAATTTACATATATATGTGTAATAATACGCGATCATATTTAACTTAAATATCGCACAATAGAGTGATTCTCAGAGACGTATTAGCATTTGTAACGCCCTGGGGTACTGTTCTTTTAACGTCCTTTCAAAACAAACCCTTTTTTTTTTTTTTTTTTAAACAATGAAATTTCGACCTGCGAAATTTACGTTTTTTACTATACGTTACTGTACGGTAACTGTTAACCTGTCTTAAAAAACTTTGACGGACCCTTAAAATATGATGTCCAATGCCCACTTTGGACCCCTCATCCCAAAAACGTCCCTGATGGTTATGGTGTGACAAATAAAAATGTACACCGGATCGTGTATGTATCATACAAGTGTGATCAAAGGTCACACTTTTTTTCGGGGATTAATTTTTGGTTTTCAAATAGTAACCTATATTTAAAATGTCGTTTTAATTAAAATAGATTTTTTCGTCTTGAAATTTATAATTTCCGTGATATTCCAGTTTTAAGTTTAGTTTGGATAAGGGAATATTAGTGGAAAACTATCCAAATGCCATGCGCCGCACCGCCACTCAAATAATGCTCTACTTTCCCTAACCTTTGAACTCCTTAGCGGCTTAACCTGTATAACTTTTATATTACTTTTCTCTATGCGTACCGATGAGACATTAACGAGTTAAACAGCTAAAAGTTATCAGTTAATTTTAACTTTTAACCACTAATATTTACTTACCCTGTGTGTTATGTATTAATACTCATCTGGTTTAAATTTTAGAATTACTTTCACAACTCATAAAAAGATACATCCGATATTGCGTGGGGCATGCATATCGAAATTACAAGGAAAATATTTTCTTATATGAAAACCGTGAGATTATGAGTGGCTGCGGTTTATCGTATTTACGAAACGAGAGTAACATTGTGAATAAACGATTCTTTAATATAATACGTAGGTATACATTATGGTGACTGCAGACAAATACCGAAATCGAATTTTCTCGAATTCCTCGCGATGCCTGCGTATAGATCATCGCCGGTTCGTGATCAAATAATCATCCTGTATACGTATATATTTCAAACGACAAAGAAAATAATAGTTGAAAATTGTTTTCAGTCGTGTTTTTAAGCCGTGCACATTTGGAACGGAACGTTGTGTATAATTTCCGCGGTTTAACCTAACAGTTTCGGTTTTTTTTTTTTTTGTAATATTTGACATTTCCATTACGACGTAAGTCCTATCAATTGCGTTATCGTTCGTGTATTATTCCGATGCGATTGTTTATATCAAATCGACTATCGATAGTATTGTACGTTTATTTTTCAACTTAAACGGTGATCGAAGAAAATTGGATGTATAAAATAATAATTGAAAATTGGATTTATTACGCATTTTAAGAAATAATAACAATAATAGTGAAGCGACATTACGAGAACGGAGAAACCGCCCACGTTGTAGGAATTCAAATATTATTATAATTAATTTATATCAAGAGGAAGTCAACAATAATGATAATAACGCGCGTGTAGGGCCAGAATTAAAAAATATAATTATCTAGAATATCCTCGGAACGTTTTTGTATTACGCGAATATATAATATTATCATGTTTTGTGGGTGGGTAATTTGTTCTCTCTAGAATTACTGCGCGACGTTATAATGTTAAACAAATAAATAATAATAAAAAAACACGCTGTCTTTTTACTAGCAGTTTATTATGTATAGTTGTATACATTATAATGTATTATTTGTTAAAAAAAAAAAAGCTCATAAAATGTTCTAATTAAAAAATTGTAAAAACAAAAACATGCATAAATCGATTAACGATTTTTCAACTATGAAGCTTAAGAACCGTAATTTTATACAATATAATACAGTTTAATTAGTGTTATATGCTCGTGTATATTTACGACCAATAATTATATTTTACTAACTACAACTGAAAATTATATTCAAAGTTTATTATTAGACACACTGTGTACTGGCAGGTCACGAACATTTTGAACTCGTTCGCCGTACAGCTTTATTAAACTATATCTGTTTTCCAATTTTTTTCTGAAAATAATCTTTTAATTACAGATGTCAGACAATATACATAAAATATTTATTAAATATAAAGAGACCGTCGCGATTGTATTTACTATCTCGGCAATCTTACGCGAACAGGCGATGTAGCTGCAAAAAAGGTTTCCGAGTAAATCTAACGGAAATGCTTTTAAAATCGCGTTTAATTAAATTTGTAAAAGACAACTCATTTCTAATGTACGAACATCTTCTTCGCATATTAATTTGTCGCATTCCCTCCCCACTCCCCCGAAAATAAAGACTGTTGCACAATGTGTATTGTGTGTGTTGTTTTTCCGCTAATTTTGGATACTGGTAGTGGTTCCCTCTCGGCCAAATGAGTTCCAACTTGTGATAAATGTAAAGTTAAATTCCAATATGAATTTTACTATATACCTAGTTGCGAGAGGAGGGAGTTTTCTTAACTCCCAAATGAATAGAAAGGGATAAAAATTCTATTTACACACGGAGTTTATATTACAAGGATGTGCCTTTTGGATGTTTCACATTCAACCCTTATCCCTGACATTCTGACGCTCAGATAATACCATTTTTCCTATTTATTTAATTAATACTATTGTACATATTGTAAATAATTTAAGCGTAGATTATAATTGATTGTATTGTTATAATAATAGTATTCGGTTAATTGTTATTTTTCAATGAATGTTTCAATAATACAGAATATAAAAGGACGTCAAGTTCGTTTCTTGTGACCTTTTCGTCATAGGTGTTTTTTTTTTTTTTTTTTTTTTTCCAGTAACTTGTTTAATAATTTATATTTCCAAAAACGCCTGCCATGAGTTTGTCTATTTACTATCACGTTATGCACAAACAAAATTGATTATAATAGTACGTGTTTTGTCTATATATCGTTCAGTTTAAAGAAGTTCAGACTTCAAGAAGCGGACGGTAAATTCAACACTGTGACGGCTTCTAAGACAGTAAGACGTAGGCACAATAATAAATTGCATACCATACGCGTGTAATATATTATATAAATTAATTCTCATTATACGCCCGTACTTGTTGTCCGTATTGGATTAGCCGGGTGTACACATTCGCCTTATAAAATACACACATGATGTTTATGTGTCATATATTATTTTGTTTTACGGAAGACGATCTGCTGACTGCAGTATAAATAGGTGCTTACGGAACGAAATGTGCACACAACAGACAAAAAAATATATTATATATTTTATCGAAACTTTTTATGTCTTTTGAAAAAGGCAATTGTCAAAATTACATTAGCATTAGAGCATACATGTACTGAATAATACTATTCTCGGGTAGTTTGTTGATTTATTCATGTAAGAGTGCCGCGCATTACTTCCGTAAACTTAAGTTTTTATGTAATATTTATGGGAAAGTTGAACGGTTCTCGTGAGAAATATGACGGGTACAATTTTAACATTTTCGCGATTTATACGTTAATTCTGTAGGCAATTTTGCTAGTAAGACAATTACGAACGATATTCCGTGCGACGTTAACGAACAAAAATATTTTGATTGCATTATAACTTCGACGATCCATTGATACAAAAAGCTTAAGCAAACTATGAATATGATAAGGTATATCAAAAAATAACTGGCTACTGAAGTAAATAAAGTACTATAAAAGAACTTTGCAAATAATACATACGTTATGTAATAACCATAATTATACTGAGTTAAGTAATAATTGATTATCATTTATTATTTAAACACATTCATATGTGGTATAATGGGATATCTATCTAATGTATACATAAGCGAAAATGAAAATCTTTGTTGCGGGTCGAAACTACTTATTCAATCGTCATGCAGTTTTTTTTTAAAGAGGACTTCACAGAGCAGATTTTAGACATACGTTTAGTCCGATAAATTTAGTAAATAATAATTAGCTATTAATTAAAATAAACATGTAAATTGTATGACAATACACCTTAGTAACACGGATAAAATGAAAAAACAAAAAGATGTGCTGTATCTATGGTATCTATGGTTTCTTTCCAATTATAATTTCCTATACGTACTGTCTTCGTGATCTATGTCATTATCGTACAGTTTACGACGCCTACAGTGAATTATGTTTTAGACGTATTACAATTTTTGTTTGTTACTGTGAACAACAGCGTTTTTTCTTCTTTTCTTGATTGTTTTTTTTTATTTATCGCATAATGCCCACGAAGAGAAAATCAAACCTTGGTCGTTCCGCAAATGTTGTCAATAAAATTCACTTATCTAGGAACTATCATTCACAAACTCACGATCAAAATATAGTTAAAGATGAAAATAACGGTGACAACGACAATAACGATGAAAATAAGAATAACATGTTTGCCTTCAATTATAATAAATCGATCGATTAACTTTAATGGAGTGTCTTAAGATGGATTGACCACCCCTTATACTGATACGGACAAAGCAAAACAGAAATAAAGGTAAAAATAATAAAAAATTAGCATTGGCAATGCCGAGTGCGGCAGTGACAACTAGTAACATGATATAATAGTGTTACTGTTCGCTATATAGTTAAATGTTCAAAATAATCGACAGTACACATGTTTATAATTTACCAATTATTGTATTATACAGGTACATTACTCGCATTACTATCATCCTGTGATAAATAACGAACACTTCGGCGATAGTCAAATTGGCCGACAGTATTTTTTGCAGGTCCGTAAATATACATTTTCACCGAACAAGTAGATTCTACATTGCAGAGTACTAGAATATATTATAGATGTTCCGTGACGTTTTCTGTAAAAATAATTCCGACATTATCAATTATTAAATTAAATCATTATGGTTGTGAATTCACAGGAATAAATGCGTTTATTTTTCCGTCGCTTCATTAGCACAAAGTTCGACTTATAGGTATACAAGGACCAACAAATTCGGTAATATCGAAACTTTTATTTTTTTAGGTCATCTTTTTTGTTTTGTTTTGTTTTCACGTCATTTTACAACTTTTTCAAGTTGTTTTTAATATGTTCAGCAAATGTCAAGTATCGAGTTATCTGTTAACGACCATTGTTTAAATAGCTATTTTCTTTTTTATTATTTATGAGCATCTATAAACCAAAATAAATTTAAAAACAATTTTATTTTAAAAAAAAAAAAAGTACTTAATTTTAAACAATTATTGGTAGTACTTTTCGACGATAAAATTTTATGGGTTTTATAATAAACTTTTTCTTTTTCATTTTGGTATTTTGAAATTCTAAATGTCTTTTCATTTGTTTGTTAAAATCACAGCGCCAGTATACGTTATATTTTTCGATTCGCGTCGGTTTCCGATGTATTTCTATCGCGTAGAATGTATACTGTTACTGGACCCAATAATATCCTAATCTAACGTAACCGATATTTCGATTTCGATTAAACCTGTGCAAACGTCTCGTATGCTGTCGAGCACAACAAAACCCGCTTTGTACGTTAAAACGGATGGTATTCATTTAAAGATGTACCGTTAAATAATTCTTGCGTAGACCTTTGCGTTTTTCCCTCTCGTTTAAAAATGTCAACATCACGCTATAATATTGTTATCGCCGGTTTCCATTGTGCTCGCGTTTATATTATATATACTCTGTCATGGTGGCGTATACAATAAAAACCAAGTTCAATGTCATATTATTAAAGCCTTGAAATTTTATTACCCGAATAAACCTTAAAAGAAAAAGAAAAAAAAAACATTTTGCCGTAGCGAAATAGCGTTAGTATATTATGTACCTAAATGTATATAGTGTTGTTTTTCATAAACTTTATTTTATTTTATATGGCCGTATATACAGAGTGAACGTAATCGTATTATTGTCTGTCCGCGGCAAAACAGTTAATTCTCTGCTTTATTTTTTCATAATACAAGATGCGAGGGTATCATGACGTTTTGGTATAATAAAATAAAATTTGCGCGTTTGATACACCGACGTGAAATCACATTACTTATATAAAGTTATCGTTTTTTGAATGGCTTAAAAATT